CCCCCCCCGCCCTTAAGGGGGGGGCCCCCCGGCCCCCCCCCCCCCCTTCCGCGCATGCGCCACCTGCGCAAGCGGAGGGCGGTGCCGCGGCGGCCATCTTGAGTGAGGGCAGGGGCCCGGGGAGGGGGGACGTGCTGGGTGGGAGCAGCCATTACCAGCAATTAACCACTGATGGCACACAGCCGTACTGGGATGGCGTCTGCTTACCTCTGCCACGGCAAAGCCAGGTGGAGAAACGCTTTAGGGCACACATGCAGCTGCTGATCGCTCCACCCTGTTCTGCAGCCTTCAGGACCTCAGTACACACAGTACCAATCTCTAAACATACTTTTGTGCCTTTTTCTTCCGTAAAAATGACCTGCAGGTCTCAAAAGAGTATGTTCCTTCGTTTATTGGTCAAATGAAAAGCGTTACATTTGAAATAATAAAGAAATGCCTCTGAGGAAAACAAGGGAAAAAAAAAAAAAAAAAGTGTTCCTTGTGCAGACTTCCAGCAACGCCCAGGATTCCATGGAGCAAGCCCCATGCCACAAAGGCAGCACCCCGCCTGCGCTCCCCCGGCCCCCGTTGTGGTTTTTCAAGTCAACAACATCCAGGTGAGAAACTCTTCTTTTGACCCACGGAATTCACAGTTCTAATAAATACCGAGCAGAATTTTCTCAGTAGGATTAGTTCAGAATAAGAAAGCCAATAATCCTAAATAGCACTGAAGCATTAAGCAAAAAATTCTCGTAGAAGGCCAGGGGGTCATACAGAAGCCTGGAAGGGCACTATTCCCCCCTCACAGTAAGGTGCCAAAATGGAGTTTCAATCACTTTTCTTCACAGATCTTGGTATCCATTTTGCTACAACCAGTTCTTTACACAACATACTTCAGGTGATCAGACAGCTGGAACACGGAGATTTGTTTTATTGAGAGCATCACCTAAGGACATATAGATGGACATCGGTATGCACAAACCTTCTGGTCATCTCCGAAATAGCACGATATTTAGAAGGCAGTGGGTTTCTCTGGACAGGTGTTTGTTTCTTCTGGCCTTCAAAGGAGTACCATACTACATACAAAATAGCACTATCTAGATTCCAGCCTTAGCAGCAGCCCGTTGTACTCATCAGGGATATTTCTTCACCCAATTGTATCTCTCAGGATAGTAATTTACAACAGGAGGGTTGAGTCCAAGCAACACAGCAGGAGCCAAGGGGCGCGGGGGGGGGGGGGGGGGGGGGGGGGGGGGGAAGCAACAAGCTTTCCTTCAGCCTTCCCCCATGCTGAATAACCTCGCCTGCTCTGCACCAAAATACATTCGACTTGTAGATGTACTTGAAACCATACACCAACCGTACGGGGATCCTGACTGGAGCTGGGGGTCGCTGCTGACCGAGTCTTGCCGCACAGGACCCCGGGGGACTTCGCCTCCCGGTACTGCTGTTCACTCCAAGCAACTCTAAGTGGAGCAGGTGACAGCTCCTGACGATGACTATAAGGAAATTCTCACCTGGACATCTTCAAATAAACGTTCACGGGGCAGCAACCCCGTGTGGAACAAGACATAGCTTATGAGAACACAGCTGCTTATCCTGAAATAAACCTTCCTTTGGAGATGGTTTTGATCGGCAAAGCTCTGCTAAAACTGCAAGTTGAGTCTCATTCTTGAACTAACACAGACCAAGGATGTACGGTCCGAAATGACTGTTGTAGGCAAAGGAAGGAACCAGAAGCTCTGGGAGCACTCGTGGAACAGAACAGACCTTGCTGCATCAACCCGACCGTAAGAATAATTTTTAACAGATGCTGCAGCGTGATACATTTACCCCGTTTATTGGTCAAGTAGGGAAGTTCAGTGGGGAGACGACTCTGAACGTGCCAAAAGGCTGTTTTCTCAGGCGCTTTTTGGTGAAAAGCCTTTCACAGAAGGAAAACAGAAACTCTTAGTATCTGGTTACAACTGATGTATGCGTTCTCAAAAAAATCCAACACTCATTTGGAACAAGCCCTCTGATAATGCCCGTTTTTGTTGGTGTTTGTTTGGGTTTGTTTCGGTGGTTTTTTTTTTTTGTTTTTTTTTTTTTTATAATGTACTTAAATTACACAAGTAGAAAAGTTATGCTTATTAATAGTTTAATGTATGAAGGAAACATCCAGAATTCTGAATATGAAGGTACATATCTCACATTAATTTAAGTCTACATAAAGTAGAGCCTCTATACTGACATATTGAAATTTACTTTCTGCTTAGCCATTTGTTATGTAAACAATTGTACATTTATTTGCCATTCTAAAACTTCAGGATCAAGTTTACATAATTTTGCTAATTTTCTGTGTTTGCTCAGAAGCAGTTTACAGTACTAAAACCAACCAGCCAAAGAACAGCTTCAACAGAAAGTTATGTCAAAAAAAAAAAAAAAAAGGAAAGGAAAGAATAAAGGCTAAACTAAGTTGAAACGTATGATGGTGGGGAATGGGCGGTCACAATGTTCACAGAAAAAGGTCAGTTAGTAAGTTCTTCTGCAAAAAGCCTACACACTTCAGTCAAGCACATCAGTAGAATGATCTGGGAGCACATAAACTGTTTCTGCCATTTGTGTTTTCCTCTGCAAAAAAGGAATCTCAAGGCTAGCACGTTGATCCCACTCAGCCAAGCTGGTTCATATGCACACTGTTCATGTGAGGTGTCCAAGTTCCAGTCCACACCTGGAAGAGAAAGCTTCATTTAACACCACGCTCCGCGGCTGCTCAAAACAGTTCAGAAGTCAAAATTACACCGCGGCGCACCCGAGTAAAGCCCAACGTCAGACAACATGGCAATCGATCGCCAAACCACACCGAATTCCTTTCGGCACTTGTTTTATCCTGCTGTAATTCACGAGAGGAGACACGGAAACGGGGTTTTAATTTTTCTGCCTGTACTTTTTCACCTTGGCCAAAGGGTCCATCTTCCTCTTCCTTTCTACTTAGTGGAAAACAAACATACAAACAAAAAAACCCTTTGACCCAGCCTGCCTGCTTTCCTTCACAGCAAAATCCAAACCAGAAATCGACGCTATTGATGCTCACCAGTTCCTCCATCATAGCAACACTGATGTAATAAATATTTTACTGTTCCACAGGAAAAATATATCCCTTTAGACCCAGGGTTCCCTCTAAACCTGCCGGGTCCGCTGTCAAGAATAATTAAGAGGACCCTGTCGATGTGCAAAATCACTTGCAAGGAGAGCGCCTGGAGACCTCCAGCTTTCAGAGCAAGAGACTCAGCAAGGTCAGACAATCGAGAACATGATTTCTGGCACCTTGAAGGATTTTCCCCCGATGCATACCAACACCCTCAGCTCGGGGGAAACCCGAGTATAACAAAGCAAAGCCTTCGCTGGGGGACAATGGTCTCACTCAACCAGAACTGGCCTCATAATGGTCACGAGCCACTTCAGAGCAATACAGGAACTGTGGCCAAACAACGGTCCACCTCCTCCTCTGCACACCTGCTCGCAGCCTGGATGATTCCCAAGCTAATTAAGTCCAGGAATGTCTCTATTTAATAACAGTATAACAGAGCTCACTGCATAATTAAAAATAAACACAAGATACAATACAAGAGCAGCTACTGCTGATCCATTATATTAGTTGCTGGCTGAGTACGAACAAGAGGTTTGGGGGAACATAATCCCTGTGCCTAAAGGGTATTTAGTGGACAAGCCTATAACCCAGGGAAGATCAGAGCAGCGGACAGAGGAGCTACTTACTCCCTTGTTACGTGAGCTCCTAGCACAGTGAAAACATCTTACCTTTCACTGCCGAGCAACAATCCTTTAGACCTAATGCCGTTTTCCCTTTCTGGGAAGGGAAAGGTTACCTAACAGCAAATAAATGGCTTTTCTCACAAAAGCTAATTGTATCTACTTTCCCAAATGCAGAACTGCGCAGACAGAAATCACGGTAACTTTGAATGAAAAATACAGTGTAAAACTATCTTTTCTATCCAGACTTGCCTACAAGACATCATCAGAAAAGCTCATCGGCAGTAATTAACCAGGTGCCTACTTTGATTTAACAGGCAGCTGCTCTGAGCTCAGCTGGAAGCGAGCTTCCCAATTCTCAAGCACAAATACCTTCACAGAGGTAACTACAGCACACTCCTTTGAACTGCCACAACTTAGTGATGCTGCTTTTATTCTCGGGACAACTTACACTTGTTTTTAGAGAGACAACTAACGTTTACAAGTTGTCAGTAAGCGTGTGCAGCGCTCCGTGCTGTAGCGAGTAGGGGGCTGTATCAGCTCCTCGGAGACACGAGTAAAAAGGAGAAAACACGACACTGTATTTTCATACTTTCTAACAGCTAGGACCTTATCTTAGCCACGCTGTTTCTTAAGTTAAAACAAAATTGAGAACACAAAAATTGGAAAAATTACCGTCTGAGGCCCGTTATTTTCTGTGGAATTTGAAACCATCTTTATCAGCGAGTTCCAAGATGGGTCAGCAGCGTGAGGCCCATTAAATATAGGGCCTCCAGTACCATCTGCGATGGGGGCTACAGGAGGAATCATTGCGTTCCCATACACAGAAAAAGGCATACCCTTGGGGGGGGAGACAAAGCAAGAATCAGTATGTATTCATAAACACCGCTACTATATCGCACATACAGAATGACAAAAGGGGATTCGTGCTCAAGAAATTCCCTGTCTTAAAGCAGTAACGAAACGCCTGAATTTTAGAAAAACCTTCCTACGCATTTATGCGTTACATCGGGGACAAGTTATTTTTTTGTTAGATCTAGGCTTCTGCAATACCGTGAGGGTTAGTCAGCGTTTTAGCTTACGCACGCTCAACTGCCCAGGGAACGATACCTCCGCGTTGTGGATCTGCCTCGCGCGCCGACACGGAAATCGAGCGGTACCGCGCACGTCAAGCCCGAGAAGGTGATTACCCCGACTTTTGGGAAGTCCATGTATCCTGCGGGAACAGGCTGATGGAATGTACCGGAAGGCGTTACGATTCCCGTGCTGTCTCTCTCCATGGCTTGGTGCGAGAACACCCCTGGATCAGACATGGGCCTGTGGATCATGTGGCTCCCCATTCCGCTGTGACACCAGTCCACTTTATCTAACAACACAGAGGACACAGCAACGCCGTTAGACACGACACCCGCGAATCACCCATTTTCCAGCCTAAATATTCGCACGCTGTAATGTTTTAAAAGCGGCATTTGCTCAGCTCGCAGTTCCCGTGCATCTTTCCTGCATCGGAACTTAGGCGCACGGGCGGTGGACAGCATCAGAAATGGCACCTGCACACCGAGTTACTCCACAGCAGTAACCCTCAGCCGGCGCGAGGAGTTTTCAACAGCTACAGGCAACCAAAGCACCACCGCTGCTCTTTTCCTTCATTGAAAGGGAAAGCTGGCCTTTGTGCTACCCTGAATTCCTCGTACATTCGGCGCTGTCGAAGGGTATCTACGCCATGAAGGCTATTTGCGCCACTTTGTTACCATTCTTTCATGCATTATTTAATGAACTAAGAGACAGAGAAGCACTTTTGAATAGCAAAACCAGAAAGTGACCAGCTGGAGACTCGTGCTCATGTTCTAATTACACGAATTCATTAGCGGCAGCTTGGTATTGTTATTGCAGTTCAAACCTCAGACATCCAGAAAGCCCGTTTTTCAAAATAAAACATAACGGAATTCTATTTGGAGGCGAGGAGGAGGGGTATAGAAACGTTTCTGAAGCCATCCTAATACTCAACGAGAGAAGAGCCAATCCCATTCTCAACTGAAAATCAAAATGTTGAAGTAATTGAACAAAGTGGAAAGAAAGCAGCATTCCAAAAGCAAAGACAGACATGAAGGGCAACTTTTCCACCTAGACAGTGCAAATAAAAATATTCACTTTCTAAAGCCTTAATGCTGAATAGCTTCTCACTACACAGATGGGGAAAAGACCGTTAGTGAAGTAAAAAAAGGTTTGGATACAGCCTA